CTGATAGAATTCAAGTTAATCCTCACAAGTATTTATATCTTTCCCTTTAGATACTTTGATGCAGTCTTGTTCAGGAGGTGACAGAGGAGGAGTATGAGCAGCCCAGTCATGGAGGCAAAGGGGTCTGTGTGCAAAGAATCTGAAGTCCACATTAGCTGCTGGACACCGTGAATGCCTTTTCCACCTCCCTCCAGCACCTTCTCTTGTTCTGAAATATTTCTTTTATAGGATCAGTTTAATTATCCAAATACTTATCTGGAATAAACTGAAACTGAATTCTGCCTTCTTATAGCTGAGAAAAATTTAATTGGTCTCTGAACAGCCTAAACTGTTGAAGACTTTTATGTCGTTGGGCTCTCATTTAAATGGTTACATTCTAGTTAAGTCTTCTAATGAATAGCACTTGCTTTTCCATCTAAGAAATCTAAGAAAAATCGGTGTATCAAAGCTGAAAATGCTTTAACAGATTATAGAAACTTTTCTGGTCTTGTGGCTGTATAATATTAAGCCTCCTGGAATTCTTTGTGTCACCCCCTATTTCTGGCCGGTAACTTCTGTAGTCTACAGTGTTGCAGTTTTGGTCTTAAAGTTGTTGAAGTAGTCAGCCTGCTTCCTGTTCACTTTTAGGATACTAATCATTTGATGCGTTCCCCTTCTTTCTGATCTTTTCCAATGGCCTATATAGAGCTTTTGACCTCAAAGAGACTCCTGCAGCTTGCTGGTGGTGCAGGCTTAACCATTCAGCCATTCATGGAATCAATGGAGCCCGGTAACTTTATTGTATAAACATCCTTGAAAGATTCTGGGACCTTCATTGATTGACACTATATGATTAATTGTCCATTGGCTCTGTATTCTGTGTACAGAGTGAATTGTATTACTTTTTAATCCCATCCTCCTCTTCAGAGAAGCCCGTGCAGATCTCTGTGGAAATATCTATTCAGACCCTATTGCTTCAACCCTCCTCTGAGAGTTGAACCACCACACTTCTAAGACGAATCTTGAATGTAATCAAAGTATTACAAAAAATAGAAAAATATCCTTACGGAATTCTAACAAATTGATATGTTAGAGATCTCATGTTCACTAACACATGGTTTTGCTCAAAAAAAAAGTTATATATAATATAGAAAGGAAAGAGTGTATTTTGTTTGTGATTGTGCAAATAAAAACCTGCTTAAATTTAGGGGGGTTGTTTTGGGTTTTTTTGCTTTGTTTCTTTAAACTTGGCTGCTTAAGCGTTCATAGATTTCTAGAAGGGAATAATACTAGTACTCCTAATATTTTAAAGGGTTATAGGGCACATTTTCAATGGAAAGGAATTATCAACCCCCTATCTTGAAGATAAATCACATAAATAAACTTACGTGATGAAAAACTGAGATAGAAAAATATCTCCAAGAGAAGATGAAATTCAAAGAATTCATCATCAGATAAGACCCAGAAGTAATCTCAGATCTATGTGTTAGAATTGAGCCCATTCACTAAATTAAAAAATTTGCAATAACATTCATGTGTTTCTGACAGTTACGTTTTCTTAGCTTACAGCTGGACATCAAGAAGGACATTATATTCTGATATATTTGGTAACATCTTAGTCAATAGCTAGAAATATATTGAAGCTTATATTTCTAAGTAGCATTAACAAGGAGATAACTGCTAAAAAATATGCCCTGTGTGTGGAACAGGCTGTTTGGGGGTTTGGTTTGTGTTAGCTTTCTCTTTATGCTGTAGGTGAAAAATAGTTTTCACTAAAGGAAATACAGAAATATAAGGAAGAACCTGAAAGTCAAGAGAACCTTTTCCCTAGTTGTTTTTTATTGTCTGGCAGTAGGATTTATTTTTCTTTACTGAGTAAGGTTTTACATGCACTGGGAATAAAGTGCTGTGTTTTTTGTGGTCCCACTCAAAAACCCAGTTTTCGGTCCATCATTGGCCCTTTTTTCCACTCAAGCTGAAGCTTACTGGGTTTGGCTTGCTCACCAGTGAGCATGCAGCAAATGTCCCTGCAGCCTATGATTGAATGACTGTCCCCACCTCACATGGCAGCAGAAGTGACTCCTGTCCTCATACACACCTGCAATTACCAGTCTGTGTTCAGAATGTTTCTTTTCTCTAAGTAGTTATTTTCATTTCAAAGCTGTTTTTCTCACTGGAAGTCTTTGACTTTTATTCATGGCAGCTAATTGTTACAGTAAATGAACTTGCTGTTGGGAACAAATAGAGTTCCAGCACCTCTGGAAATAATACCATGTAATGCTATGGTGTGTTTGGGTAAATTCAGGGCACCAAGCTGAGGCTCTGTCTGGTTCCTGCAAGCTTCTGAGGACAGAAATTCCCCACTTCTTTAGCTTTCTAAAAAATTATTTGCCTCCAATGGACAAAAGGAAAAACTACCAGGAAAACATATACACCTTTCTGTTTTGAAAGCCTATGGAAAACGTGAAAATAATTTGTTTTGCTCTGTCACCTGGATGATAAATACTATAATGTATTTTTTAAAAAATAATCACACTTCATTCTTCACCAAATGATAATACTGGCGCAAAGAAATGAGGAAAGCTGTGTTGCACATACTCTCCCATGATACTACATTTGCTTTATTCTATTGGAGTTCCTATGTCAATGGAATTAATTGTATGTTAGCAATAAGCAGAAAAATCATGACCCTTCTACCATTAGAAAATATAAAGCATCTTCTAACACAAGATCTTTTTTTCCCTCTCGCTCAGCTGAGACGGAGTCAGTCTGTGATGAGGCTCATATTTTTTGCATTTCCTAAAAAGCACTGTGGCTAAAAGGTTCAACTTACTGAGCCTGAAACCATGTGTGACTGAAAAAATTGCCATAGTAACATTCCTAAGGTTATTTATGGGTGGAACAGGGACAGCCAATACCCATTACATCATCTTCCTCATTGCCCCCCACCCCAGGCCTGCTGGGGTTTAGGGTTGGAAACACAGAGCCCAGCATTCAGCAACATTCTTACAATAAGGTGTGAGAGTCTGGACCAAAGCAGCATAAACAGCAAAAAATAGGGAATTTGTTATAAGGATGAGAGAGATGGTACTGACAGTCTGACAGGGCAAATCCTTGTTTGCGGTGGGAATGACTAGCAGTTAGCAGATCAGGCCAGACAGAGGATGCATCCTATCCAGGTCATCATCAGCTACAAAAAATGTTGCTACTTCACCCCTAGGCAATCAGGCTTGTCACCCACACCTGCCTTTACCATTTTTCCCCCAATACAAGCCTGACCTTTTTATTCTTGAAGCCTGTATGCTAACTATACACCTGTGTATTGTGGGCAAAGAAGGTAAAGGCAGGAAAGGGGAGCTTCTGTTATCTAAACAAACATTTAAATACCTAAATATAGCAGCCAGTTCCATAAGGTATTCTGGTAAGTAAATACCTTATTCTTGACTGTATTTATAGCCATTTTGCCAAGGAAGGTTCTACGTTAAGATCTAAAAGGCCTATATATTACCCTCCAATGTTTATTCTTGGTTGTACTTTTGTGCTATTCCTCAATCGTCCCATCCTGGCCTGCATCTACACACACAAGGACGTACCAGAGGTCACTGGTCTCCAGGGGAAAGTCAGGCTGTGTTCACTGGTTTGGGGAGGAAGACTGCTTCTGTTATGCTTGTCCCAAGGTTAATCCCTCTCTGAAAGCGTTATTGGACATGCAGAGAATGCAGGCAGACGGTGCAAGTTCTTACTGTACCTTTAATCTACTAATAGTATCCTTTTCTTATTAATGATAATATATGTGAAAGAATGAGCTTCAGTGGACTGATTGGTTCCGGGTGCTCTAACCATACACCTCAAATCATAGCAATGAAAGCAGAGTTTTTAGGGATAGGAGTAAGGAAAGAATGTAGTTAATACATTCTTTTAAAAATAACTTCATATCTTTTCATTTGATGGGAACTAATGTAACACACTTTTAGTACATATTCAGTTTCTGCACTAATCTAGGATTTTGAGTTTTTGTCAAAGCGTCTCTGCTGTACCTTTGTTGAGCAGAATTCGAATAAAATGCCTGAGTAGAAAGTAGGAGACACTAAGGAAGAAATCAAGCTGTACCAAGAAAAAGTAGCATATCATATTGTAGTAACTATAGAACATATTACACAATGAAACAAAAGGAAGGCTCTGATTTTCAGTGCAGTCTCCTGGCACTCAACCCACTTCTGTGTCATACTTGCTATAATAGTGAGGTAAAATACATTCATTTTCAGTTTTCATTGTTTATTGGGCTCACTCTCCTACTTAACTTATTTATTGCTATTGAGTTGACTTCCACAAGGCTTTGATGAATTTTGGTGGAAAAAACAGCGTATGTTCAGGCTTCTAATCTTTTAAAATAGGGAACAGATTACTAGAAAGCATGGGAAAATTATTAAATATAAATTGACATAGCTGACAATGGAACCTTTAATCTCATCCTGAGTTATTTCTTATTATCAATTGAATTTTGCGTAATGTAAATCAAACCACATGAAAATAAAATACAAAAGGAAAATTAAATTATTTTTAAACTTTTCTTCAATATATGTTTTATTCTTAGTAGACAGAAAGAGCATCTTCCCCTCATAATTATAAATTAAAAGCAATAAAAATGGATTTGAGATTAAATGAGGATCCTGGTAAAGGAGGCTGGAGCCAGAGGGCTGGAGGGCAGGGGGGTACACAGCAGAGTGACAACTCTGGGAAATTAAATGCGTGTGTGTGTATTCGTGCACATACTCTGAAGGGAGAACAGAGATTAAACAGGAGAGGGTGGCAAGAGATCATTAAAAGATTGATGGAAAACAAGTGTTTGGAAAACAGAATTAAGAATATCTGGGCAAGGAGGCTGAGAATGAAACTTGGAGCTGTTGGGATGTGTTTTCTAAGCAGACTGCTGCTACTCTGCAGGCAAGAGCTGTGCGATTGCCATGAGAAGATGGGAGGGAGACCAAGGAGAAATCAAAGGAGAAGTGGGCAGTTAGCCCACAAAAGTGGATTGTTTTTGAAAAGGACAAAAGTCAGATTTGCAAGGTGAGTCAGCACTTCTGCTTAGCTAAATATATACTCTTAAAACTCTCAGGAACCTGAAATTAAGCTTTTAACTTTCCTGTTGTATCGATATAAGCAATAACTCAAACTTATAAATGTTTATTTTACAGTCAACATTTCAGGTCAGCCAAGTGGTTCCCACAGACACATAAGCAATTCAGTTGGCTTTCACAATACAAGCATTTTATACTTGCATACTATTATTAATCACTGTTTATGGTCTTAACACTGTTCATAGTAGACATGTGCTTCTGGATGGTAGTTTTGTCAGCTAGAACTCATGCAAGCACTGACAACATAATCTGTCCTTTTCAGGCTTTGTTTCTTCAGTAACAGCAGAGTACTACCTGCTAAGGATGAAGTCTATCACACGTTTGCCAGAGAAATAATTTGAAATGGCCACTCAACCCTTTCGACAGCTTTCTTTGCGCCACAACAGAAACCTACAATTTATTATTTCATTGGACAGACTAAATAACTGCAATTCAATAATTCAGAAGCTGAGGACACTGTGCATGGGCACTGCTAGAGAGAGAGAGGGAGCCCCAAAGCATCCCGTGACAGGGATGCAGCACAGGGCTCTGAGTCATCATCAGTCCCCGCTGCCTTCTGCTACCACGCTTGTATCGCCATCAAACCTGGGCTGGTTCTGTGCCACCCACTTCTGTGCCTTTCACTTCTTATTCCAGGGTTGGATTATTATTTGCATGAGAACTGTATTAAACCCATAGGAATAACTGAGGTGCACAGAGTATAAAGCTCTCACAGCAGTGTATTAAAACAAATGACTGCATCACTAAATCCTGTGATTCTGAAGACATACAGAACCCATGCGTTTCTGTATGCATCAGAAGAACTTGTAGCGTTAAATTTATATAATCTAACAATATGCAACATTTGCAGAATTGCAGCTGGCTTTTCGTAGGTATTCTCCAAATATAAACTATTTTATGTGCTGAAAATCCTGAGATGGAGCTGTCAAGAGTGTGGAAATACAGCTATCCCCAGGAGTAACATGCTTTTGCAATCAGATTTTGAATCCTTTTTGTTATGAAGAAGATAAACCTCCTGTTTAAAGAGAACGGTACAGTTTCTCAGGTTTGCATAATTACACCTTCATCTTGCCAGCTCACTGTGGAAAGCATCATAATAGAAGATGGAAGTCTTTTTGTCCCCAAAAATCATTGCTAATCCTCTGCTATTGTTTTAAAATATCTGTCAAGACATATAGAAAAATGCTCTTGTAACTTGTAATTTTAATTTTATTACAATCAGAATAACACTTGTTCTATATTCATATGCAATTATTACCGTAAGAGATCACTGAGGTCTTGAAAGAAGGAAACACAACCATAGCAAACTTGGGTATCTTAGTTTTCCTCTATTATTCACTGAGCTATCTTTTGTTCAAATGCAAAGTGCAGTGTTAAGAACATGCATTTTCGGAACTTGAAGTTCAGAGGTATTTCCAGAGGTTTTCTCATCAAAATGTGGCTTTTTGCAATGAAAGCTACTAACTTGCCTACTCAGTGCAAGGCTGCTAAAGACACAGAGATGGGTGACTTTGGGTCAGTGATATGTTTTTTGAATATTAAGATTTTAGTGATAGAGCAAGAGGAAAATCATAACGTCTTAGGGCCAACATATGACCCGATTACACAGACACATTCAAAAAGAATGAATTAAAAGACTGAACACCTGGCAAAGGAGATTTGAGAATTTTGTTTTCTGAAGATTTTAACGAGTTCACTTCTGAGAACAACGTAACTCTTGGGACAACCTATTCCCGATTAAGAACTTTACCTAAAGTCCATTCAAATAATGAAAAAAGACTCCCTTTGACCTAGATGATTGTTCAATTAAGTCTTCATCTTCCTAATGGCAGATCCCTCACCTTGCAATGCTGGCCTTTGTATGAGAGTCTCATTCTGGGATCAGCATGGGCTGGCCAGCAGGGAGAAACACGACAGAAAGAAAAATAACTGAAATGTGATTCAAAGCAAAGCTTTTGCCTTCCTTTGCAATACTTAATGTTTAGAGTCTTAAGGGGATACAAAGAATCAGTTTTGGTAAAAAGACTTTCCTTTAACTCAGTTATGCTTTTGTGATGCAAATTGATGTGCTAACTCGCAGATCACAGGAAATGCTACGCCATACAGCTGACTACTAGAGTGACCAGCCACTGATGAGTTCTTTTGATATCAGTGTTTTGACAGCAGAACAGTCTTGTTGAGTCTGCTAACACCTTAAACAGTAGCGGAAGGCAATCAAGAAAGACTGAGAACTCAAATTCTCATCATAGGAAACAGCATACAGTACCTAATAGATTAAGATACCCATTCAGTGAATTAAGGGTCAGGTTCCACCAAGATATGAGAAAAATATACCGCGTATTGTGCTGATCCTGTGCTTTAATTATAAAGCAAGCCCTTCACCAAAATTGTATTTTAGTATTCTGAAAAAAAGAAGACCTTAATAGTACTGAGAACTTAGATTATTTTAAAAAATCTTTTAAAAAATAAAAATATTTATTATTCTGAACTCACTTGAAGTGAACAAATTTGGTGTAAAGATAGTTATTTAAAGAGAGATAGTATTTTATCTCTGACAGTAGTAGCAGTATATGTGAAAAAGCCAATCAATTCTGTCATGGACCAGGATGGTGGTTAAGAAATGGAAAACATCTCTCCTGGCAGGTTCACTATTCATTTCTGACACCTGGCTGGTACAATATTGAGCGCTTAAATTTATGGAAGATGGTAGTCTAAAACTAAAGCATTATCTTTCCATCCACAAAACCCCCTTCTGAATTTCTTCACAGCTGATTTGTACGATATTTTTATTTTTCAGTATTTATTTCAGTTGGGTTTTTTTTTTTGTAAATGCTTGATTTTACATGGGTAGCCATTCATTCTTCATCCTTGTAAAAACTATATGAAGTCTACCTAGAAGCCTCTTGTACCTGTAACAAGACTGGGTTGGTTTGGTTTTCCTTTGTATTTGATGTGTAATTTAATCAACAAATGGAAAGTGTGTTTTGCTTGCATATTGCTTGTAGCAAAGGCTAATGTTTTACTGAAGTTTTTTGGCACTGACGCTTGCAAGTCTACTCTTGGCAAGAAAACACTCTCCAACCTACTGATAGAACAGTAGAAACCTGCATTTTTGGAATGGCACTCAACAGATGAACCCTACATTTATTCATTTTTCTTTATTGCAGTTGCCTTTAAAATGCTAGAATTGTCCCTACTGGAAACAAGCTTCCTTGTTTCCAACTTCCATTTTTACTTGCTATATAAATGAACACACACAACTGCAGAAATCCCAGAATTGTGTATTGGCATGTTCCATAGTCTGTGTCCAAAAGTTTTATTTGTTTTACTAGCTGTAGTAAAAACTAACCTACATGTGGTTTTGTGTAGTTTAGCAAACCTACACAGAAAATAAATGCTCAAAGACAACAAAACACCCACATTTCTTGCAAACTGCAAGAATGCTAGATAATATTTCAAATCTGGTCAGCTACAGTGCCACAGCGAAATAGCTTGATAACTAAGAACTATACAATATTTGCATCTCCATTTAACCTTTTTGGGTGCCAAGCACTGAAATATCAAAGCTGGCTTGTTGAAATAGTTTCATATTATTCTGTGCATCTGCCTTATAGGACTCACTGCAGGATTCAAGCCGAAATCTCATTGGAATTAAAATAATTTGAGTAATGGCTAAGATTTTCAAAAAGACCTAGTGGATCTCTGATTTCTCCTGCTTGAGAAAGGCAGCACCAACATGCTCTGGAACAATTAATTAGCCAGTCTAATTAAGTTTTTATAACAACTTAAAACTAAATTACTCTATTGTCTTTTGTGTGAAATCTCCTTTGTTATACCCTGTTATGCTTATTCTTACTTGTTAAAAGACCATCCACAGTGGCAACATCGAAAGATTCTACTACTTGGGCATAGACTGAGGTGCAGGAAATGCAGAAAATCTGCAGTCACTTGGCAGTTTGGGCACAGACCTCTTTTTGGTGCAGTACAGCACCCGAACCAGCTCAGGAGCAAAAGGACTTGCCCTCTTGGCAGTCCAGAAGTGCAAGTCCCAAGAACAGTTAAATTAGAGGGAATTTAGAAAGCTGTAACTCACTGTGCTTTGGGTGAAAATAAAAGCTATAGGGGGGGAAAAAGCCTTTGAGGAACACGCTTTCAATACAAATACTGAGAAATACTTGACTGTCTGGAGTTCTAAATGAACTGTCAGTTTAGCTGGACCAATGCACTGGCTCCACTGGATTGCATTTTTTCTATCAGAAAAGTTTGAAATGTCTTTATGTGGTAAAGGAGAGATGTACTTAATGCAAAGTGTTTTAATGTCTGAGCAAAATCTGTAGTAATAAAGATGGGACACTGTATGGCCCACATTTAAGATTGTTAAAAACAGTTGTGAAGTCCCTATGTTATCCATTCTGGATGTCAGTATATTCTTTAGAAACTGGAGGGGGAGAATAAGAAGAAAAAAAAAAAAAAGCCGAGGGACGCACACAACTAAATTAGCTGTTTTACAGAGATTACTAAAATGTTGTAATTGCATACAATTATCTATAACTAGATAGAAAAATATGTGCCAGTGGAGATGTAACATGAAGTTACTTCAGACAGCTGTTCTTTTCTACCAGAACAGCCTGTGCTTAATTATGTAAAATCAGAATAATATGAAAGCATATTTTTAATTTTTATATTTTAAGGCTATAAATTAGCTCACACAATTTATTGAGATACTATCTATATTTCTACACGCTACTAATCACTGTGGGAGAAAATGTTTTGAAGAAACCAGATTTATTTTTCTTATTTCCGTGCTAATTCTGTGCCATTATATTTCAAGTAGGGGGTGCACAGGACCATTACCATTTAGCATTGTGATCCTAGATGTTCAGCTATGGCTGAGGAAGAAGGCAAAGCATCTGTGCTGAGACTTAATAG